CCCTCCGGCCGTAATGGCTAGGAAAATTTATCCATACTCCGGCCATATTGGTGAATTTGAAAATTTCTAATTTCTAATGGATATTCAATTTTTCTTTAAAATAAGGACAACGTAATGCCTTAATTAAAACTAACCTTTTGAATTACGCTTTTATTCTACTGGCTGAGCTTATGAAAATACCTTTTTTTGGTACTTTGTAACAAGGCGTAATTATCCTCAAATACCTTTTTTTGGATTTTACTTCAAGAAGAATATATATATTGTATTACAATTTCTTTATTCTTCAGAATAAATTAATAAATTGAATGAAAGTTTGGTTTCAATTACATTATAATGATAATATTGTGGTTGGTGTTGGAAAAAGAATAGACAATTAAACTTTAACCTTAAAAAGTTTATTGTTTGCTTTTATTTTAAATTCAGGTGTATACTTTCTTGTTCAATCATTTTATTAAATATAACTGTTTAGGTTATAAAATTTCACCATGCTTCACAAAAGATATTAAATAATTCTATTTTTTATTTTTTTAAAATGTCATGCAAGCTGTTATGATTATAGGTTCAATCATAAATAATGAAGTATTTCTTATTCTAACCAATTCTTTTGTTTTCATTCAACGACACTAAAGATTTTTAGTTAAGGTACTTGGAATACAGAATAATCTTTTTCCTTCTCTAATAATTAAAGCTTCAATTTTTAATCCAATTCCAATATAAACAGAAGAAGTTTACTATCAATTATTTGAGTATTTTATATTTATTTGTTTTACATACGTCTAAGAACAAATATTCGAATTATAACTTTCCTTTTTCAATTATATTCTTTTCCTACTTTAATTTTTCTTATTAATCAATGCTTAAATGAAACATTAGATTTGCTATCAACTTTGCTAGAATAAAAATTTAAGATTGTTGAAAAGCAGAAAATTATTGCAGATCCTTTTTAGAGAAATATTGGTGGCTTTTGTGGAAGTATACGATCCGAATTGAGGAATCAGAATTGATTAAGCCTCTTTTTGGTTTAGAATTTCTCAGTTCATCAAATTCTCTACTTTTCCTCACATAATACTTATCCAAAACTCTTCCTCTCTTAAAGCCATTCAAAACTGACTAAAATTCTCTGTCTCTATGGAATGACTCTTAAATAAAGAAATTCTTCTACCAAATTGAGATTCTCTTTATTTGCATTTTTAATATTTGTCTCTATAGGATACCAGATATTTTTAAAACTACATTCAAAACCTAAATGTTAATTAAGTATTATAAAAAATTTGGCTTTCAAAACAGCTGCAAAAATTCTTAATTGCGCAATAACAAGATCAACATCACTCCTTGTTAGGGGCCATTAAGTTTATATATAGACAAATAACACTAGAAGTGATTAATTTAAGTAAATCACTTTTTTTGTAAATATATACTGACAAAATATTATTGAATCCTTTATATGAATATGATAATGTTTCATAACTTTGATAGTTACCAAGTTATTTAAGCATTCTGACCCAAACCCATTTCCTATGCAGTAAAATAAAAGTATTTGGCTTCTGAACTTCTACGTAATTTAACTAATGAATCAGCTAAAAATAAATTAAAGATAAATTTACCTTTATATTTTAATCTAAAAGCAGTAGGATTTATTTTAAGTGCTCGTTCAAAATTTGAGAGTGCATCCATGTGTTTCTATAATTTTTGTAGGATTAAACCTTAATAACAAATATCATTACCTTTATTATCAAAAGCCCAATCAAATTTAGGGTCAATAGATGTTGCTCTATCATAACATGCAATTGCTTGTTCATATTGATTTAAATTGTATAATGCGAGACCTAAATATTATTATTTAACAATTAATTACCCTTGCAATTCCATGCATTAACATCTTTAGGGTTAATAGATATTGCTTCATTGTAACATTCAATTGAGTCTTAGTAATAATTTAAATTGCATAATGCATTACCTATATATATATATTTACAATAAATTACCCTTGTTGTACCATATTTTAGCATCTGAAGAATTTATAGATATTGCCTCATTATAACATTCGATTGAATCTTAGTATTGATTTAAATTGAATAATGCATTACCTATAAATTAATGTTTAACAATAAATACCCTTGCAAACCCATGTTTAATCGTCTTTAGGGTTAATAGATATTGCTTTATTGTAACATTCAATTGAATCTTAGTATTGTTTTAAATTGAATAATGCATTACCTATAAATTAATGTTTAACAATAAATACCCTTGCAAACCCATGTTTAATCGTCTTTAGGGTTAATAGATATTGCTTTATTGTAACATTCAATTGAATCTTAGTATTGTTTTAAATTGAATAATGCATTACCTATAAATTAATGTTTAACAATAAATACCCTTGCAAACCCATGTTTAATCGTCTTTAGGGTTAATAGATATTGCTTTATTGTAACATTCAATTGAATCTTAGTATTGTTTTAAATTGAATAATGCATTACCTATAAATTAATGTTTAACAATAAATACCCTTGCAAACCCATGTTTAATCGTCTTTAGGGTTAATAGATATTGCTTTATTGTAACATTCAATTGAATCTTAGTATTGTTTTAAATTGAATAATGCATTACCTATAAATTAATGTTTAACAATAAATACCCTTGCAAACCCATGTTTAATCGTCTTTAGGGTTAATAGATATTGCTTTATTGTAACATTCAATTGAATCTTAGTATTGTTTTAAATTGAATAATGCATTACCTATAAATTAATGTTTAACAATAAATACCCTTGCAAACCCATGTTTAATCGTCTTTAGGGTTAATAGATATTGCTTTATTGTAACATTCAATTGAATCTTAGTATTGTTTTAAATTGAATAATGCATTACCTATAAATTAATGTTTAACAATAAATACCCTTGCAAACCCATGTTTAATCGTCTTTAGGGTTAATAGATATTGCTTTATTGTAACATTCAATTGAATCTTAGTATTGTTTTAAATTGAATAATGCATTACCTATAAATTAATGTTTAACAATAAATACCCTTGCAAACCCATGTTTAATCGTCTTTAGGGTTAATAGATATTGCTTTATTGTAACATTCAATTGAATCTTAGTATTGTTTTAAATTGAATAATGCATTACCTATAAATTAATGTTTAACAATAAATACCCTTGCAAACCCATGTTTAATCGTCTTTAGGGTTAATAGATATTGCTTTATTGTAACATTCAATTGAATCTTAGTATTGTTTTAAATTGAATAATGCATTACCTATAAATTAATGTTTAACAATAAATACCCTTGCAAACCCATGTTTAATCGTCTTTAGGGTTAATAGATATTGCTTTATTGTAACATTCAATTGAATCTTAGTATTGTTTTAAATTGAATAATGCATTACCTATAAATTAATGTTTAACAATAAATACCCTTGCAAACCCATGTTTAATCGTCTTTAGGGTTAATAGATATTGCTTTATTGTAACATTCAATTGAATCTTAGTATTGTTTTAAATTGAATAATGCATTACCTATAAATTAATGTTTAACAATAAATACCCTTGCAAACCCATGTTTAATCGTCTTTAGGGTTAATAGATATTGCTTTATTGTAACATTCAATTGAATCTTAGTATTGTTTTAAATTGAATAATGCATTACCTATAAATTAATGTTTAACAATAAATACCCTTGCAAACCCATGTTTAATCGTCTTTAGGGTTAATAGATATTGCTTTATTGTAACATTCAATTGAATCTTAGTATTGTTTTAAATTGAATAATGCATTACCTATAAATTAATGTTTAACAATAAATACCCTTGCAAACCCATGTTTAATCGTCTTTAGGGTTAATAGATATTGCTTTATTGTAACATTCAATTGAATCTTAGTATTGTTTTAAATTGAATAATGCATTACCTATAAATTAATGTTTAACAATAAATACCCTTGCAAACCCATGTTTAATCGTCTTTAGGGTTAATAGATATTGCTTTATTGTAACATTCAATTGAATCTTAGTATTGTTTTAAATTGAATAATGCATTACNTAACATTCGATTGAATCTTAGTATTGTTTTAAATTGAATAATGCAATACCTATAAATTAATGTTTAACAATAAATACCCTTGCAAACCCATGTTTAATCGTCTTTAGGGTTAATAGATATTGCTTCATTGTAACATTCAATTGAGTCTTAGTAATAATTTAAATTGCATAATGCATTACCTATATATATATATTTACAATAAATTACCCTTGTTGTACCATATTTTAGCATCTGAAGAATTTATAGATATTGCCTCATTATAACATTCGATTGAATCTTAGTATTGTTTTAAATTGAATAATGCAATACCTATAAATTAATGTTTAACAATAAATACCCTTGCAAACCCATGTTTAATCGTCTTTAGGGTTAATAGATAATGCTTCATTGCAACATATAATTGCTTCTTAATATTATTTCAATTGATATAATGCGAGACCTACATATAATAGTTTTACTATAAATATTACCCTTGTAATACCATGAATTAGCAAACTAAGGGTTAATAAATATTGCTTCATTGTAGTATTTAATTGCATCTTCATATTATTTCAAAAAGAATAATGTAAGACCTATATATAATTATTTTGCATAAATTTACCCTTGCAATTCAATGTAACAACATCTTTAGGGTTAATAGATATTTCCTCATTAAAACATTTAATTGCTTCTTCATATTATTTCAACTCGAATAATGCAATACCTATAAATAATTATTTAATAATAATATTACCCTTTTTAAATTATGCGCCAATATAATTAGGGTTAATAAATATTGCTTCATTGAAACATTTAATTGCTTCTTGGTATTAATTAAATTTAAATAATGCGAGACCTAACAAGTAATAATTACAATAATATTACCCTTATTATACCATGTTTTAGTATATTTTGGGTTAATAGATATTGCTTCATTGTAACATTCAATTGCTTATTCATGTTGATTCAAAGTTTCTAAGGCATTACCTATATATTAACATTAAAAAATACATTACCCTTGTCATTCCATATATCAATACCTTTAGGGTTAATAGATATTGCTTAATTGTAACATGCAATTGATTCTTCGTATTGATTTAAATTACATAATGCAAGACCTAAAAAGTAATAATTAACAATAATATTACCCTTACTATACCATGCTTTAGTTTAATTTGGGCTAATAGATATTGCTTCATTGTAACATTTAATTGAGTCTTAGTATTAATTTAATTCGAATAATGCATTCCCTATATGTATATTAATAATTAACAATTAATTACCCTTTTTATACCATGCATAATCTGTTTAAGAATTTATAGATATTGCTTCATTATAACATTCAATTGAGTCTTAGTATTGATTTAAATAGAATAATGCATTACCTATATATTTACATTTAAAAATACATTACCCTTGCTATTCCATGCATCAACATTTTTAGGGTTAATATATATTGCTTCGGTTTAACATTTAATTGCTTCTTCATATTGATTCAAATGATATAATGCATCACCTAAATATTAATATTTAACAATAATTTACCCTTGCCATTCCATGCATTATCAAAGTTAGGGTTAATAGAAACAGCTTAATCATAACATTAAATTGCTTCTTGATATTGATTCAAATTATATAATGCATCACCTAAATATGAATATTTAATTAGTAATTACCTTTGTTACACCATGCACTATCAAATTTAGGGTTAATTGAAACAGCCGCATCGAAACATGAAATTGCATCTTGATTTTGATTCAATTTTTTTAATGCATAACCTAAATACTCCTATTAAACAACTAACTACCCTTTCCATTTTATGCAGGATCATATTTCGGATTAATAGAAATAGCTTTGTCGTAACAATTAATTGCTTCCTGATATTGATTCAATTTGGTTAATGCATTACCTATAAATATATTAATATTTAACATTTAATTACCTTTATTTTACCATGCATGAGCATATTTAGGATTTATAGATATTGCTTAATTGTAACATTCAATTGCTTCTTAGTATTGATTCAAATTATATAATGCATCACCTAATTAATATAATATTCAACAATAAATTACCTTTGCTATTCCATACATCAACTTATTCAGGGCTAATAAGCATTGGTTCATCATAGCATTAAATTACTTCTTAGCACTATTTCAAATCAGCTAATGCAATACCTAAATGTTGACATTTAACAATAAATTACCCTTACCAATCTATGCATCAACATTGCTTGGGTAAATAGTAATTGCTTCATTCTAAGATGCTTCTTGATGTAGCTTCAAATCTGATAATTCATCACCTAAATATCTTTAAACAATTTACTGCCCTAATCATGCTACACTGAATCTTCTTTAGGATTAATAGAAATAGGTAAAATCATAAAAATAATAATGAAAATTAATTAAACACATTAAAATATCTTAATTAACATTTATTTAAACATAATATTTTAGTAAACTCAATTAGGTGTAAGATTGACATGTTGTGTTAGGTAATACTGACTTTGTATTATTATTATCTTTTTAGTGATCAGATTAAATCCTATTTGCTTATTATGCTTGTAATTGAATATCAAACAAAACAGAGGAAATCTCAATCACTTTAATAATTGAACAAACTTTGAAGTAATACAACATTTGAGGTGAGTGACGAAAAATTTCTATTATTAATAATTTGGATTACCATTATCAATTCATTTATATTACATGTCTATGTAAAGAAGCAATTAAATTTTGAATTAAAAGCAATAATCTATTATTTCCTTTAAAATTTATCATATATTATCCTTTTAGTTCTATTTTTCTATTTCTCCCCCCTCAACATGTAATTTTTTAACAATAAGAAAGTGTATAGATTAAATGAATTATTAGATGCTAAAAATATATAATCCCCCTTTTTATAAATATAATGTGAAAATTTAATTAAGTAGAAGCTAATAGAATTGCAAACATGCTAAGAAATAAATTAAAAGAATGAAAAAATGATACAATAATTATAACCAACTTTGGTATTTAAAAAATCTTTATTTCAAGGAGGACTAGTAATTCTCTTAATCACTGACATTCTCATCAACTTATAAGCCTACTAGTTGTTCAGCAACTTAAAATGGAAAAGTTATTGAGACAAGTACATCAGCGTGGTAATGTTGTATGTGTGATTAAATGATTCCTAAGAATGGTGTGTTCTAATTTACTGTCAAAATTATTCAAATTCAAGAAATTATGATTGCAATTGGTTTTAGGGATGTTGTGCAGAGTAAAAGTTATCAAAGTTGTTAATATATTGGAGGAGGGTATATTTATGATATTAATAGTTCTAAATAGAACATATAATATATATAATAATGGTTAATGTTAGAATCATGATTAATAAGATAAAGATAGTAAATATATAGCATTTAAATTTGCTAAGAATGATATAATAATAGTTGAAGTGGATATTGAAAAGAAGTATGTGAAATGGACAAAGTAATCCACAGATGAATCATTCGTATCAATTTCTATTTACTATTAGACTCTCTTACTATTCATACATCCAAACATTTATATCCATGTGTACATTTAAATGGTCAATGTAAAGTTGAGATATTAAATTCACTATTAAACAAGTCATTTGAGAACAGAAGATCATGAACAAGCTCTATCCTGAAAAAAGTAATTCTTTAGTTAAGATAAGGATAACTTCATAAATAAGAGGAGGCAAAAGATTCATGAATGCTATAAAGGAGTTGACTATTACTTACATTCATTGTTTCTTTTGATTGATTTGTAGAAAGTCAACTAATTGAAAGTATTTACTTATTCAATTATGCCAATAATTTAAATGGGCCTTGAAAATGTATTTTAGAGTAATTTGACTAAAAATTGAGGTTTTTATAATCACATTAAGAAAAGTAATCGTATAGTGAATTCTCTGAATTTATTAAAGCCTGCCCGATGTCAAGACGTTATGGTCTCAATAATTAAATTTATCAAAAGAGAAAATCAAGCATTTCTAAAAATAATATTAAAATAAGATTGTTAAGATTCATTTGCTTCTTAAATTTGGAAGGTACATTTTTTGAATGATCCCTTTTATCTATTATTTTTGTTTTCTCATCCACATTTTAGCATGAGATTAAACATATACATTTTAGGGAAGTAAGTAAATATAATTTGTTTTTTTTTAATTTTATGTATTCATTGGATCATTGAGTTATCTAAAATAGCTCCGTTTATTTATTTTTACACCAGTATTAAATAAATTAAATAGTTTTCATTTTTAATATGATCTACATTAAAAAAATATTAATTTATTTCAATTATAGAAAATCTTACTTTGAGTTTTTCGTGTTTAACACTTATTTGTTCAATATTAATGAACTTTTCTTTCAACTTAAGAATTTTCATTACCATTTAATAAAATATCACTTCAATATAAATTCAAAATCAAATTTATATTTATAAATTCATTGTCATATTACTATTTTATTCTCTTTTAAAAAATTATTGTCTTCGCTCAATAATTAGATTAATGAATCGAAAAGAAAGTATTATTACTGTATATTATAAAAATAAGTTTCTCAATATGAATGAGGCAGGTCAAGGAAGGAATAAAAAAAGCATAATGACAGTATTCTCGTTGATATCTTAAGATAAATACTCTCAAAGCAGCTTAAGTTTATAGTTACACCCTCAAAAAAGAATCTAAAATTTAAGTTGAATATCAAAAATAACAATGCTCAGATTAATGTTTGAAATAGATTTGATCAAAAACCCTTTTAATTTACGAATCACAATATGAATAGGTTGTTGTTTTAAGATTTAATAAATTTTTAATCAATCTGATAATCCACTAATATATTTTATTGATTAAACCTTTAATTCATTGAAATAATAAAAACATTAATGATAAATAAGCTTAGAATATAAGGAATCTTTCACTTTCTCAAGATTAGAGTAATAATAATACTGAAATATACAATACCAAAGTAACATGCCAAGTCCATAAAAATTAATTCAGCTTATATTGATGAATAACTAGTATTGAATTAAGACATATAATGAGCAAAGTTAAGAACAGTTCTAATACGATTGATTCTTCAGTATTAACTCAGAACTGCTGTTCTATCTGAGTAATATCGCAACAGACTTTCTACAGCAACTTGCTGAATATCAACGAATTAACAATATTGGACTTCTTGTTCAACATGAGTCATTTTTGTGCCTAATTGCTTTTAATTTAGCTAATAATAAAGATCTTCTAAATTTATTTATATATTAAAAATATTGATGATACTGCATTTTCTCCTATCCTGAATATATCCGAAGTCAAAATTACAGGGAATATCAGCAAGATTTGCCAGAATTTTCTGTTTTAATAGCAAAATTATTAAAAAATATTTAATGGCTGGAATGATTGGATATCAAAAAGTTATAAATTAGTTATTTAAACCAAGTATTAATATTAAATTCTAAATCTCAAAGTAGTTTAAAATAGAATTCAGTTATAAATTATAATAAAAGTGATAATAATTAATAATTACAATAAACCCAATAGTTGTTATTAAATGGATCATATAGTCAATAATTTAGAATATTTTCAAAATCATATCCAATAAATTAACAATTTTTATGACTAATTTTACTGTCATTCGAAAAAATAAATTTGTTGAAAACTACAATCGTTATGCATCATTTAAAAATAATAAATATTAATCAAGTTATAAAGTTAAACAAGTTTGAGAGATGATACTTTGCATTTAATCAAATTGAGAGGGTAGATAACTATTTAATTAATTTATTAAATATATAAAATTTCATTTTTCACAGTATTGTTTGGATCTTATAGTAAGCTTCTAATTTTATATTGTGAAGCCCGACATTATAAGTATTACCATTGACATTGTATATTTAAAATTGTTAAACTTATTAGTCAGAGAACGTAATTGTGATTGCTTATTAAGCAAAATTACTTTCATATATTTATGTTTTTAAATCATTGTATATTAAATAAACTTTTATTCTATAAAATCTATCGTCTTAATCCCACAACCATATTTTTAGAGTGTTTAATTAATATTATTACACTAAATCAAAGATAATTGATAATCCTATCCCACATGCTGTATATCCAAAACTTCCATTAATATAGTTAGTATTATCACGTATACAACTGCCTTAAATACCCCCTGCAAAGCTATTTGATAATTTAGATGAGATTATGCCTCCTCTATTCTAATTTAGTACATTATAATATTTTCCCCTAAGGATTGAGTATAATCTTGCCTATCTTTGCTTACACACTTAATTAGCAGCTAATTAAAAATTCAATATAAACAAAGTGACTAAAATAATATAATTTTTCCGCATCATTAATTTAGTAAGAATTAATTTATTTTAATAAATTTATTCATCTTATTGAAGAGAATATTAAGGCTAATGAATTATTTTTTATCATTTTCTATTTCAGTAATGCTTGCAACATGCTTTTTTAATAGAAAAAAGAGTTGTAGTTTACAGAAATTCAATGCAATTTTTCTATTAGAAACCAAATAAATTATTATTACTATGCTTTTTTTTATTAGATTGATTAAATTTTCAGTTTAAATTAATTAAAAATTTGTGTGCAAACTTGTAAATTTTGAATTTGAACAAACATTTATCAGATTTATCGCAAAATTAATGCCAATTATTAATATTATCAAATGGATGATTAAACTATAACTAATTGTGCAATAAAAGAAAAAAATATAGAAAAATTGTGTAGGTTAATACCAGACTCATTAACTGAAGAACTCAAATATGCCCTTAAACATTCTGTAGAAAATTTATTCAATGAAGAAGCAGATTTAGATAAGCTTTAAGAATATATCACTTAAGTTCATTCTGATGACCTAAATATCTAATATTAAGGGTTAAATAGAAATCGAAAACTATTGAATAATTCTCAATTAGCATTACCAAAAGAATAACTAATTGAAATTTTACTTCAAAATAATTTTTCAATAAAAATTTTTCAAATAGCCATAAACAGCAAGATTCAATTGTTGTAATATGAAGCGCTTTGGATTATTTATAATATTGTGTGTGTAACATAATAAGAAATGTAAAATATTATTGTTAATAATGGAAATAATATCCTTCTCTTAGTTGATGAATCTTAACTTGATGAAATCATTGAATTAGTNAAAATTGTTAAACTTATTAGTCAGAGAACGTAATTGTGATTGCTTATTAAGCAAAATTACTTTCATATATTTATGTTTTTAAATCATTGTATATTAAATAAACTTTTATTCTATAAAATCTATCGTCTTAATCCCACAACCATATTTTTAGAGTGTTTAATTCATATTATTGCACTAAATCAAATATAATTGAGAATCCTATCCCACTTGCTGTATATCCAAAACTTCCATTTATATTGTAAGTATAATCACGTAGACAACTCCCTTAAATACCCCCTGCAAAGCCATTTTATAATTTAGATGAGATTATAGCTCCTCCATTCTAATTTAGAGCATTTTAGTATTTTCCCCTAAGGATTGAGTATAATCTTGCCTATCTTTACTTACACGTTTAATTAGCTACTAATTAAAAATTCAATATTAACAAAGTGACTAAAATAATAAAATTTTTCCACATCATTGATTTTTAGAATTAAATTATTGTTACTAAATTTATTCACCAAATTGAAAAGAATAAAAAATCATCAAGGCTAATGATTATTTTTATCATCTCCTAATTTAGTTATGTTTATAATATACTTGTTTAAGGAAAAAAGAGATTATCATTTATAGATATCCAATAAATTTTCCATTATGTTTAATATTAGAAACTAAACAAATTATTACAATCTTGACATTATATGTAATAATTAAAAGTGTTTTTGTAAGACATCTTCTAATTAATATAGGGACAGCAACAAATCTTATAACAAAGACAATTTACTCTTTCATTGAATGTTTTCACAAAATTATGATATCTAGGAATTGTTTCATAAGATTGATTAAATTTTCAGTTTAAATTAATTAAAAATTTTTGAGCAAACTTGTAAATTTAGAATTTGAGCAAAAATTTATAAGATTAATCACAAAATTAATGCAAATTATTAATTTTAGCAAATGGATGATTAAATTATACCTAATTGTGCAATAAAAGAAAAAAATATTGATAAATTGTTTAAACTAATACCAGACTGATTACCTGAAGAAATTAAATATGCTCTTAAATAATCTGTAGAAATTTATCCATCGAAGAAGCAGATTTAGATAAGCTTTAAGAATATATCTATAATGTTCATTCGAATGACCTAAATATCTAATATTAAGGGCTAAACAGATGTCGAAAACTAATGAATAATCCTCAATTAACATTTCCAAGAGATTAACTAATTGAAATTTTACCTCAAAACAATTTTTAAATAACAATCTTTCAAATAGCCATAAACAGTAAGGTTTAATTGTTGTAATATGAGACACTTTGGATAATTTATAATATTGTGTGTGTTACATAATAAGAAATGTGACATATTTTTGATAATAATGGAATAAATGTCTTTCTCTTAGTACATGAATCTTAATTTGATGAAATCACTGAATTAGAAATTTGCATTTTAGCTAAGATTTCAGGGGAAAGTGTTTAATTTTGGAATATGCTCTTAGAGAAAGGAATCGTTTAACAATTACTCAAATTAGCACCATGCTATTAGTGGAATAATCCTGATGTTTTACATCAATAGTATTGACTAACTTAGCCAAATAACAACATATTTCAAATAAAGTATATTATTTATTTGAGAAAATAGAAAAGTCAGAATTTAACATAAGTTCTTTCAGAATTATTATTTTTAGTCGAAGATGAAAACCAGTTAACATATGCTTGCTGGGGATTGAATTATTTAATTGATAATGATGATAATCAATAAGATTTTTTCAATTCAACCAACAGTTATTCAAAAATTAACTCTATTACTAAATTCACAAAATGAATCTCTTATAATTCCAGTTTTGAAGACTATAGGAACCATTTTAACAGGAAATGAAGAGTAAACCGCTTAGGTCTTAAACACTGGAGTGTTAAAAGCGTTTGAAATGTTATTAACAAATAATTACGGTTATGTAATTCAAAGAGAAGTAAATCAAATTTATATTCAAGGTCTGTTGGTCTTTGTCTAATATTGCTGCTGATACTCCAGCTTAAGTATATTAAATTCTCAAAAAATGATTCACTCTTAAAGCCTTATTTAGATAATTTTAATAGGGAGACACTTAAATCTTCAAAGAAATCTCATATATTCTATCTAATTTAATTAGTTATACAGATTTAAACAGTATAGATCATTTTATAATATAATATGATTTCTTTTAAAAAATATCAATTATGCTAGACATGGATGATGAACCTATAACACGAATACTTCTAGAATGAATTTAAAAAAAAGTAAAATTGATATTATATGAAGTTTAAAAGAATGCAAAATTTGTAAGTGTATAAGTAATAGATGGAAGATTCAAAAATTATTGAAAAAGTTAAAATACTGTAAAATTATGAAGCAGATGAAATTTCTGAGTAGGCAAATGAAATTTTGAAAACTTTAGGTTAGGAAGAATTTGTTTTTAAATGGATTTACTATCCTGTAAGAAATTTAAAAAATAACAATCATTATTCAATTTTTTCACTATAGTTTATCTAATATATTATAATAATAATAATAAGGTCAATTTGTTAAATTTCAACAAGTAATACTTTATTATTTCTATTTTCTTGTCTTAAATACTTTTTAAATACTTTATCATTTCAAATTACTGCAAGAAACATAGTATCTATAGAAGCACAGTTGATTAATTAATTTGTAATTTCTAAGGAATAATAAAAGAAGTATATTTATTTTTTAATTTAATCTACTGTTTTTAGTCCTTAAAAATATTTATTCTGATATGACTATATATAAGAATTTTTTATTTAAAAAAGTATTATGTTAATTGTGAAGTATTTAAAATATGGTTTTAATTTTAAAATTTAGAATCAATAATGATCATACTTAAAACTTTGAAACTCTTATTATTAATTATACCATAAATCAGAGGCATAATATACGATTAAGGGCTATGCTATGAAACATGTTGGAGCAAACTATCCAAACTTTAATTGCAAGAACCAAAATTAGTTTACTATAGCCTTTAATTATCCTTTTGATAACATTCCTCAGGTTTTTCTTGTCCTAGATCACCTCGGCGTTACTGTGAAAACCGATTTTAGAATTTAGATTGAGGATGTCACTAAATTAAGTGAAATATATTAAATAACTTAAGATTTTAGGTTAAATGCAGTTTGCTTAACTGGTTGGGCAAATTGTGTTATATTAAAGTGGTATGCTATCGATGATTAGAGATTTTAAATAGTCAATGCTTTTAATACAATAGATTTAACTTAAAAGAAATTTCAACACAAGAATAAAAATGTGAATACAGAAATTGGCCTCATTACTTTGATAAGACATAATTTTGATGAAATCAACTTTAACCTCACAGTACTTTTTTATCTAAAAATGAGATCAATGAAATTACAAGCGATGATGTAACAGTCTCTCTGGTAAAAGTGCCTGCAGATTTTCCAAAATTGGTTTAAGTGGGATTTCAAATTATTTTAGGACCAAAAGAAGCATTTTAGAATTTCTTTTCTAATTATTCTACCAATGATTTGTATAACTTTTTGAAGGGAGATAAAATGCATGGTTTATAACTCCATTTACTGGAATGGGATATCCTGACACTGATGCTGTGAGATTGGATAAATAATATTGGTTTATTAAATTTAAGAAATAAAACTTTGTGGTAATGGAAAGGATAAGTAATCCATTAGAGTGATGGCAAGGAGTAAAAGCAGTCTCCCCTAAAATTTGAAAAATATTTTACAAGTTTTTAAACTAAAATAAGTGGAAGCCCCTTACCACTTATAAGTCCTTCAAAAATCATAACTTATATCTGCTACTTAAATATCTATTTACTTCTTAAACAATAATTAAGTATTAGATACAATTGGGGAACACAATGTTAGTTTAGATAAAGATCTCACAAACGTTATAATTGAAATGACAATTGTTTGTCCTTAAGGAAAGGCAATTGAAAGCAATTTCGAAAAATGCTTTGATTGTTCTATTTAAAAGCTTTACAAATCAAACTATTAATGCAGTAACACACTCAAAGAATTAGTTTTCAAAGTTTAGTATAAAAAATAAACTCCAGCATATTCTGAATTTGTAATCAAGATACAAGAAAATTTATATCAAATGAAATAGCTACTTTACAATCAAAATATTGAAGAGGCTGTAATATTTTTGATAACTTTAAAAGATATCTGACATTATAGATATATAATAATATCTAATAATAATATATCGAATTACGTAGCTTTATATGTTAAAATATCAATAAATTAAAGTATTTGCAACAAATTGATGCTTAACAATAGATCGATAATGATATGAAAAATGTATTCTCTAGTTTAGATGCATACATCTGTCGATCTTATTTATTAAAATAAAATTTTTTTAATTCTATTAAGTAATTTTTGTATTTAAAAGATTTATTTTTTACATTATGATTGAAGTTACTGAATAAATTAATAAATTGAAATAAAAACCTCTATCAACAAAAGGGAATTACTTATAATAAAGTGTACTATTTACATTTTAACATTTTGTTATATTTTCAAAGGTTAGTTTTAGAATTACTTGTGCAAAAGGATAACGATAATAAATTATTTATAAGTTTCTTTTATTTGCATTAAATTTTTTTCTCATCTTTATTGGAAATATAGCAAATAAATGGCCTTTTTAAATTAGCTTTCATTCAAAATATTTTATATTCCTTCAAGATCTAGTGCATTTGCATTAAATTTCTGAGATGATGAGTTTCAAGTATTAGGTAGGGAAATTAAGAAGAATTATTGACAATAAACAAACAAGCCATAGTATTTATAAAACTTCAAGTTAATCATGGAGAAGAAGAGTTATCTATTAAATCCTAATAATTTTAATATCTGCTTAAACTATTGATTGTATTTTAAATTATATTGTTAAATTGATATTGATAAAATATGTAATAATATATTTACATTAACTCTAATTAAATTAAGAGAACAATTAAAAGTTTAACATAGTTTTACTTGATAAAATTTTGAAGCTCCATTCTTAAACTGAAAAAGAGGAAATAGAATTTTTTTAAGAATTAACAAGTATTGATTATATGCTTTAATGATTTATTTTTATTCATTTGCGCAAGTACTATTTAACAATAAATCCCCAATCTAGAATCAAGTTAACTATTCCATTCATATTTTGTGCATAAATCTCTTCATTCAATTTGAAGATACAAGTTGAATTTTGATTAATATATATTATGAAATACTTTCATTAATTTTCAAATCAGAATAAGTTTCGACTGATGTTTTAATTGAAGAAAACAATTTTTAGGAAATCTCTCTAATTCTAAAATTAAATGATGTCGTCTTAAAATATGATTAGCCTAAATTGCCAGTTTAAACTCCAATTAAATTATCTCATATACAAGACTATTTTAACATTCTAAGTAAGTGATATTACTTTCTAAATATATATTATAATACTACATTATATTATTTTCTCGAAGAATCAAAAAAATAGATTCTAGTCATTAAATTTATTAAAAACCAAAGAGTAGTTAAGACTAGAATCACAAGCCAAACAATTATCATATTATAAGGAAAAAGTCAAACCAAAATTTATATATCATAGTAATTAACTAATATCATTATATTGACTTGGCCAAACACATAATAATAAATTCAACTCCCTAAAATTGCATCGCATGCAAGCAATTAGAAGAAAGAGGACCATTATACACTTGTGAAGAAATTCTTGATAAATGCATGATTAGGACTCTTGAGACGAATCTATAAAAAACTTGGAAGGAAGTTAAAGCAGTGCATTCAACTTGGAATTTAAAAAATTAATATGACGCATAAAGTAGTTAAAATAAAGAAAATGGATAAATGTTTGGAATATTGGTTTGGGAAGATTGGTTTGTTCATACTAAGAAAAATAATAGAAATGTTAAATCATCTTCACATAAAAATCAGAATTTGACTATTAAGCTTGGAATGTACATTATATTCTCATTCTTGATGATTCAGGTTCTATGGAAGGAGATAAATAGGGAAAAGCAAAAATTGGAGCCTTAAAATGTATACAGGAATTAGAAAATACTGATTCTTCAAGAGTTAGTGTTATAATTTTTAATGGAGACTCAAGAGTAGTGGAAGAATGTTAAAAATCAAATTCCAAAATATGAAAAATAAAATTGATTATAAGGCAGGCGGTACTAATTTTGAACCTTCATTTGAATAAGCATTAAAATTGAATTAAAAATATGAGAGCTTTAATAAGTAAGTAAATTTAATATATTAGAATTTAAATATTATTTTATACCGATGGAGAAGCAGGATATCCATAAAAAACTGTTGAAAAATTCTGTAAGCTACCACAGTATATTAGAAATATAATCAACTTAATAGCCTGTTCAGGAGAAACATCTACTCAGTCATTGGCACTAATAATAGACACATTTTAAAAAAATATGTAATTAGCATAATTGTTAAATTCTATATAAACTATACAAATTTAAAAAGTTTGGACAGAAGTAGTTAGCTAAAATATTCATTCTTAACTGGCATGAAATTAATTATTTTAAATTTATTTTTGAAGTTATAGAATTTACATAATAAAAATAAAAATTAATTAATAATCATTTTGTCTTAGTTTCTTCTCTAATAATAAGTTAGTTCATTATATCGAAATCTTTTATGTTTTTTAAACTATTCTAATTTTTGTAAGTTTGGAAGTTGTTGAACTTAAAACTATCTTACAATTTCTCGACTAAGGTTGTATCATTGATTAAACTATCTTTACTCAAAAGTCTAAATTAATAAAATTTCTTTTAGATCAATTTTATGCAGTTCTCTTATAAAATTTATATCACGACAATAAATACAATGTTCAGTAAAAAATATTAACTGCTAAGTATTACCTGCTTGTTAACAATCAATGAAATGCTATGTTATAATTTATAATCCAATTTGAATTTGGTTAGGATGCCTTTCAAATTAACCATGATAATTAAACATTTTTCTTTTATAATTAAATAAGAATTTTGAGGATAGTATCTATATCAAATAATTGTTTCATCGAAGAGCAAGGGATTAAATATATAAAAGTAGTAATAGTAACTATCTTTCAGATGAGTTTAAAATTGATATGGAAAAATAAATTATCATATATATGCACCTAAAAATATTGGAAAATTTCTTAAATGTTAAAATAAGAAGGATTAGAGGAATTTATTTTAATTTCAAAAGATGGCGATATGATTAGGATATAAGGAGAAAAGGAAATGTTAATGTTCAGTAATTTTTAAACCATAAAAAGGAATAATGTAATTGTACAACCAGAGTTGAATTACAAATTTATAACCAATTTAGATGTTGCATTATTAATAACTTTACAAAACCAAACCTGAAACATTTTATAAAAGTCTTTTCGTATATTTGGCAAAAGTGAAATTCCTAATAGGAGCAAAATCATTTTCACTTATCCAAATACTTTATGCAGCTTTTATATTAAACTTGAATAGATCTGGGAGTTGAGTTTATAATATTTTTTGCCTTTCATACAAATTTATAGAAAATGATATAGAGGTTTGATCAAGACAAAATTTTACCTTGAGATTATTAGAGTATTAATGAAGCAAAGAATTTTTAGTTTAGAATTGAATTAATGAGGATGAACCATTTTAAATTAATAAAGAGTAATTAACCTTGTCTTATTTTATCAGAAAAGTTATAATCTTCATCAAGCACTTTTTGAAAGATTATTCTTATATTAAGGTTTAAATTTTTGACTAATAAATTATTTAGTCAAATGGCTCATTTTAGAAATCAAGATTTTCATTATTCTGTCTTATATCTTTAATACTTTTGGAGCAGAATTACACATAACAATTTTAAATCGAAAGATTTAGGCTTATTAATTATCACTTCATTGATAATATCTTAAATAAATTGTTATAGACCACAATAAATCAATAAGAATTTTTTTATAAAAATTTCTATTCTATATATTTTATTGGAAAAATTTCTTATTAATGATTCTAATTTCACTGATGGTTTATAATAATAAAATTAATTTCTTTTATTTAATGCGTATTAATAATTCAATTATTTTTAGAAATATGACAATTATAAAATAATTTATTGGACCATCATTAATAAAATACTATTTACACTATTTAAATTAGTTCTCGCAGCCTCAATATTAAGGCAATTTTTTCTAAATTAAGATATTATCTGGGGAGTCAACACAATTGAATTTTCATTCAAATTACATTTTTTTTTATTCCAAAGATTTCCTATTAATAAACTAATTTTCATAAAATTTTTGATGATTGATGGTTATATTACATCTGCGTTTACGAATAACATAAATGTTTGTAAGAAGCTTAATTTTGATTTAATTGCCTAAACAAAAATTTCTCTTTTCTCATTAGTATATTGAACCGATCATTACACTATAAAATATTTAATTAATTATGAACTTTGTATTACTAACACAAAAATTAGATAGAGGTTATTTAACTTAGGATCGGTGATATATATATAAAATTTAGATGCCATAGTTTAGCATGCGTTGCCTCTAGAATTTACAGTGCAAGTAGTAAGCCAAATATTGCAATTTGAAATAGTATATAAAATTACGATAGCATTTGCACATGTTCTTGTAACACAAGAAGTTGTTCTATTATTTGTAAATCCTGTTTCATTTCATTACAATTTGTGTTACTGTGATTTCCTGCTCCTGGGTGTAATGCAACACAAATGGCAGCTGCTGAAACGACTATACAGGTAGAATCGGTATTTGTGTTTGTAATACATAACCCAGCTCCTGATTTTTAACAATTCGCAAGTACTGTGTATATTAAACAGTGACCATACTATAAGACTAGCATCGATCATAAGTTATAGTTCGAACCATACCAGTTATTTTAGCACAATCAGATGCAATATGTAAAATTGTGATACAAGTAGAACCTTTTAAATATCAGTTTGAAGTAGCTGTTTTTGTACAATATAGGGTTGTACATTCATAGTATCGCAAATTGATTGAGGTCTTAGCATTTGGATCCATCAGAAATCGATCTACAATCGATGCTATAGTCTTAAATCGAGCGTGATCAAGTCCCAATCCTGATAATGAACTACAATTAGGATCTGATAATGTTCTGGCAAGTGGTTTAAGGGCTAATCGCAGCCACATTCAAAAATATATTACTGGTAGAGCAGCATTAGTGATCATACAAGTTGCAGCTTCAATATAGTCTATACAGGTAGCGGCTTTAGCTTAATAGGCAGTTCCTGTTGAATTAGCAATGTAAGGAGCATTTTTTTTTTCAGCAAAAGTAGAATCAGTTAATCCTATTCCCGTAATTAATTGGCATTGTGTAGCAGGACCTACCAAATCTACACAAGATGAAGTTAAGATGAAGTTGACCATACACACTACACTGGTGAAGAAACATTAATGACCATACAAGTTGCTGATATACAATTAACACAGATATCAGCTTTTGCTTAGCAAGCAGTTCCAGTCTCCTTAAAAAAGATGCAATATTATATCTATAACGTTATGTGTCATCTAATCTAGTCCCTTCATAGAAGAGCAACCGGAAAATCGATTACAACTCGTTCCATTCCAGAAGCATTTCCTTATCCAGATCTAGCACAATTATTTTCAGCTGCCTAATTTCAACAAGTTGCTTTATCCTCATAACATCTTGCACCATCTTTTAAGGCTGTGCAAGAAGAGTGATTAGTTAACATTTTTAATGATCTAAACTTGTAAACTTAGTTACAAATACACATTCAGTGCCTGCTGCCACTGCTTGGCAATTAGAAGAACCATTTAATGCACAAAATCCTGCATTCCCACTTGCACTTGACCTGAACCATCCATTGCTTTTGTTCCATATGCTGTACAAGCAGTTAAGATAACAATAAAATCAATTCCATCTATTTGGCTGAACATGTACTAAATAGTTCTTATAAAAATTACAAGTTGGTCTCAAAATAAATTTTTTAAAAAGATTATTTGCAATATTTGAGAATCTCTATCAGGTTTACCCAGCTAGTTATAACGACCAATAATAAAATACCAATAAATATCATAAATGAATTAATTTGTACTGAAGTATTAAAATAAAAATTCCTAAAAATATAAGTGAGAAGTTAAGAATGCAATTAAAAAGGACTAAACTACCAAAAATACAATTCTTTAATTTATGTTTTTTTCTTTTGTACATATTTTCAAATATCATAATTTGTTATATTATGGCTTTAATTTGTCTTTAAATTCTTCTCCATCCATTGACCAACTTTTCTCCCGTTTTGATATACACCCATCTGAATTATTTACTTCATTTAATCCCACTCATTAATCTCTATCCAACTTCCTATCTTTAAACCCTTACTTTGTTAATCATATGATCCACCACCACTATAATTCTCTTTTTAAATTTATACATCTATTGCAATTAGTTAGCATCATCTATATAGAAAATACCCCATTCACCAACTTTTATGCCATTTGAATATTCACCTTAATCAATGATTGATGGCGATAGCAAAAATATATTTTAATTTTACTCAATCCATTTCCCAATCTTGATCCCATCGCCTTGTTTCTTATATGATCCGCCACCACTATGAATGTTATTTATAATTTTTAATTAGATAATTTACATCTTAGGAGGTAAACTATTTTACTTTGAAGGATACACAATATCCCATCTACCAACCCTTTTGCCGTTCTTATATTCACCGTTCTGTCTTGAAGGACCCTCCTCCTCAGACCAATAATATATCTCCTTCCATTTCCCTACCTTTATGCCTTCACCTCCTTCATTATATGATCCGCCCCCACTAAGTATTTTATTTATAAGATAATTTACGGCTCTATTAATTTATCATCCATGCAACTAATAGTCCATTGAGCCACTTTTTTACCGTTTTTATATTCGCCTTTCCAAAATAAATACCGGGATCTATCAAAGTCATCATCAACTTCAATCCATTCCCCAATTTTAATCTCATCATCTCCTTCTCCATATGATCCACCGCCACTAAAAAATGATGTTTTTAACATTTAATAGGATAATTTACATCTATTAAAATGAGAGGTTTTCCCAATATCCTTAGTAATCAATAGTCAATATATCCCATCTCCCAACCTTTTTACCGTTATGATATTCACCACCATAAATAACTCGATAATTTTGAGAAAATTCATCACTTAACTCAATCCATCTGCCAATCTTAACCCCATACCCCTCTGAATCATAGAATCCTCCACCGCTAAGAATTTTGAGTTATATTTACATTTATTAGTTTTTCCATCCTTTATTGAACCTTAGGTAAAATCTAACCAAATTATTATAATTAATCTTTACTAATTATCATTCATTGATCCATCAGCATATATTCGGAGTTTACAAATCCAATCAGGATTTCGATTTCTCCACCAAATATCCCATTTCCCAAATTTTTTCCCTTTTTTATACTCTCCACTTAAAGTAATTTACTAATTGTATGAAAACTCTTCACTAATATCGATCCATCTCCCAACTTTAATTGAATCTCCTTCTATTTAATCTTCATAAAATCCTCCGCCACTTGGATTGTTTTTTAATTATTTATTAATATAATAATACATCTATAAAAAGGGTCTATAATCTTTGCATTTGTAAAAAGTATCCCATCTACCAACTTTTTTACCATTTTTATATTTTCCACTATAGGTTACCTAACTCTAACTAATGATTTAATAATTAATCCAAAAATACTTCTAAAAATGATCACTCAAATCAATCCATTGACCTTCCTTTTTACTTTACCAGTTGTAATGTCCACCACCGCTAAAAATTTAAGAAGTATTTACATTTTCTCATCCTCGTAAGTAATTATCCATAACCCTATTTTTTAATTATCTCTGTATTCTCCAATTTCATAAACTTGAGTCAGTCTATTAATTTAAAATATAAAGTAATTTACTATCCATAATTTATTATGATGTCATTCCAAATACCAATCTTTTGTCCCTCATGAGAATAATATCCACCCACTTCTTTGATTTTTTTTCCATTCCAATTAGCTGTCCATTTTCCTACCTTCTTAAAATTCTCTTAATATTTTCCAAGCCATTCAAGATAATAAATTTGTTCTAAATTAGTTATGACTTAAGGCTTCACACTAATATCTTTTTATTCTTCTCTATGTTTTTGATAGCAGAAATATTTACCTTCTTAAAATTTATCCATCCAAAAGATACTTGATTTCAATAACATCATTAATTTTTGCTTATTGGATTTATATAATTTTTCGTTGCCATTTATTTTTATTCATGTTCCAAAATTTACACTCATATTCTTAAGTTGTCTCTTCTTGGATATTTAGCATTTTAGTATCCCAACATTTCTAATAATTAAATAATATAATACACCTATTTATCTTATCTATTTCCTTTCTTGCACTCTAATTATTTGAACAAATAATTCCCATTTCTATTATTTATTTATTAATAATAAGAAATGTTTACCCTTAATAAAATCAATAATATTATGAATAAAGTGGTTTGATAATAGCATTTCTGATGCTAAATTTAGTGTTACAGCTAAAAACTCTATTTTAAGTAGTTAACAATAAAAAATAATTTATGGAATTTATAATATAGAACTATATTTTTGTAACTCTGATTCTTAAAAAGAATAATTTTTTTTATAAAACATGCTATTATAAATGTTAGGTAAAAATCTATTTTTTTATAATTGTTATTATTTCTCATTTACATAAAGCATAATTAATTGCATTATCATTTAAAATAGCTTTAAAAACCTTATATTTAATTTTAAAATACAGATAGAAGAATGATAAAGTCGAAAATACATTAAAATTAAAACCATTAATAAAAGCGTGATTTGTATTTGTTAAATAATTTGCTATTTGGTAACTCCGATTGAATGCTAAGCAAAAACATATTATTTTATTATTTACATTATAATTAATGATTTTAAATTTCATTACATTCAGTAGCCAACTATGCATAAATAATATAATTGTAATCTATAAAGATGATGAATTAAGTTTTAATTCTTTGGAAGACATAAAAGATTAAAAGAAGAAAATTGAAATTGAGAAACTTTGATGATTTGATACTAATTCAAAGTTGGGTTTTAAATAATCCGCATTCTATAAATTATTCATTACAAATGTGAACCCAAAAGAATATATTATGCTTTGTGTTCATTTTTCTCTATTTAATTAATTATTATGAAATTTGATTTATTAACACATCAATTATCAATTCCTTTATATTCTTTGTTTAGTCTTCTTTGTTATGGAAAAATTAATAATAATCCTCTTATCACAGTTAAAATGCCACAAAAAAAAGTAGTAATAAATGATTTGATTTAAAACTCTAAAAAGAATACCATATTCCGTAATTATGAAGTTCGTGTTGAAATTGCATTCTTAAAATCTAAAAAATATCTTTTATAATAAATACTGGAACTATTATTATTCTAGAGTTCTTTAGCAATTCTAGCAGCAAATTTACTCTATTTCCTCCTTATGGATTGTCGTAATCTTTTAAAATTCATTTGCAACTTTATTTTGATCCCTAGTCATAATGATACAAATATCATAGTTCTTTTTCAATATTTAACTTGCCTTATCATAAGGTTCTAACTGAATTTAGTCTGTTATTGAATTATTAGTTTTGATCTTTGTTAAATAGTTTAAAGATTTTATTTTTCCACATTTTGATTCAGGCACTTACATATGATTTCCAAACTTTCAATACATTAATTATCATTAAATAGCAAATCATTTTTTTTTTAGTAAAAATTGAAAGATAAAATTTTATCCCATCCTAGATTTATGAAAGTTAAACAAATTCTATAAATTTCAAGGATATTTCTAAAGAATGTTTTGTCAAATTGAAGTATGTACAACTTATGTGTTAATTTATGATAACACTAAGATGATTTTTTTTCAAATTTCTAAACAAATAATGCCGACAACTATGAAGAAATAAATAAATCATACATTAACAATTTAAAATAATTCATATATTTAATAATACATATATTGAATAAGCTTTACTATTATAATCAAAATACACCAAATATTGTCCAATATAAATGATATTCCATTAATACTGAATGTGTCACAATTTAATTACTCATCAATTTATAATTGCCATTATTTATCTCTTGAATGAAATATATGTTTTATGTCTAACTACTATTAAATTCCTCTCCCTAATATCATTTATTGAAAATCCATATTCATCAAAGTTTTGATTATTTTTATTTAATTGGAAAGTCTTTTACTAATTTTCTTAATAGACTCCTTGTTTTAATTCAAATAAAAAGAATCTATCTCTTTGATTTTCACCAATTATCCAAATAAATTAATTGGCTTTAATAAATTTAACTTTTAGTCCGTAATCTGAAATTGATTATTTAACAAAATATTTGAATTCAAATTTTTCCTTATCTCTCTTCTTCCCCAAATAATTATTTAATTCTAACCTTCTGCACATGATCCTAATTAATCTTCTTATTAATTTAAACTCGAAGAAATAACTTAATTACTATGTTTACCCAATCAATATAGAAATACTAGTTTATTTTCATTTAATTCAACCTTCCAAACTTAGATTGATTTATTCAAACTCCCAGAAAATAGCAAAAAAATCCTCATTTGAATTATATATATCATATATCTAATAATATCTGAATGCTATTAATAAGGTTCTGAAAAATCCACTCATTTTAGTCCAATTATTGCCAACATCTAATTGTTTTACTGAAGAAATAAAGGAGTTTTATTTTTTGCTATAGACTAAACATTAGACCCAACTAATAGGTAATAAAAATGTTTTACTAATTTGATTGTTCCATTAAAAACTCCATATTTTAATATTAGATTCCTTGGTTGACACCAAAAATGACCAGAAGAATCGAAATTTATTGCATTACATTATTCGTGTTATTTAACTGATTAATCAATTAATTTTAATTCAGATTATGTTAGTAATTGTTATTTATCAGAACTAAATTTCTATAAAGAGAATTCTAGATGAAACAATAGTTCTTTACATTTTTTATCTTCCTCGAATGTATTAAATAATTCTAATTTAGGATATAATTTAGAAGTTGAACAGTGATTTGTATTTTTAATTTCATGGATTAATAATTAAAAGTTATCCTCGGCAAATTTTATTTCAAACCATAATTTATATTTCCTCATAAAAGCTATAATGAGATTATTGTAATTCTATTATTATAAATTCTATATCTATTCTTTTATCAAAGTAATCTATTAGTCAAATTATGAGATTGCAAGTGCATTTGATCAACAATGCTGTGCAATTATTCAATCAATTTAATTTAGTTGACTATTTCATCTTCTACTTAGTTTTTTAGCCTTCTTCAATTAATTAAATAATTTGTTTTAATCCAACTAATTTACTATCCAAATCTGTATTCTCTTAACATTCTGTAGGTTTTAATTCTTTGATAATGCTCGATCAAGTGCAATCGTAACAACAACATGTAACTTATGTCCTTAACAATAAGATAAATCTTTCTCGTTTTGTATCATTTTTGGTTTAATCATTTAATTAAAATTATATATATTTTATTGATTGAGTTTCAAAAGAATTTAGACCTAAAGATGACAGTAAATGTAGTTCATTCTCATAAAAAGTTTGTAAAGGGATTTTATTTAACGGCCACTTAATACATAAGTGCTTATTTTAATTCTGAAATTATTTATCAAACCACAAATGACAAAGACACCATTGATTTACCTTAGAGCAAATGTTATCGACTTAGATCTTGATCTTTTTAGTTGCTAAAAGGGCAATTAAGTATAAATTCTTTTTTTTTTTGGATAAATTTTAATTATCGAAAACGATCAACTCTTCTAAGTATTAGTATTTATGACACTAACAACCTAAATTATTGCATCTAAATTTGTTTTTCTCATCACAAACTTGAAAGCACTAAATTAAACTACTTACAATATTTATTGTAATTAGATTTATAATCAAATGTGCGTTGGTGTTAAAGATTCTTATTAATATTGAGAGCTTTAGAACTATTCATTTGATGAAGCTGGACATAAAGGCTATAAAATATATTAATTTTGAGGTAATAATACTTCAGGCAAATTAAACCAGTTTATTGTGTTTGTAATTTGGTTTGAAAGGAATCTCTGTTATTTTATTTATGTGAGTTTAAGAATAAAATAAACCACGGTATTCCTTAAATTGAGTGCACTTATTTCATATCAAATTTCTGAAACACCTGAAACTTTGGGTAGAGCCATTTAAAATACAAAGGAAAAGTTCAAGTTTTGGAATAATAACTCAATTTTATATCTTAACGAATTCAAAGAATTAGATAAACTTATAACCCAATAATATATGGTTCCCCTCATTATTTGAAGCAATAAGGTTGTAACTATTTACCAAAGTTGACTTCCACTTATTTAATGCATACACTCTTTCTTGTCTACCATAATTAATTAAGAGTCAAGATTATTTTAATTTTCATCTTTTCCAGATATATTTATATTTGATGGATAAAATAATTAAAATTAATTATAATCACAAGCTTGGGAATAATTCACATATAAAGTTGAATAACTAGAAGGTTATATGCTAATTCGGAGGCAACTAACTTAGGATTTCATAATTTATATGTGTAATTAAGCTAATCCCTTACTTTGAGGATTTCAATCATCCTTCAATTTGTATGGCAATAAACTCTCGGATACATAATGAAGCTAATAATTTATTGATTCTCCAAATCTTTGAGATCTCATATCAAATTTACAAGCAGGTGGTAATAACTTATCATAAGCATTTAAAGATTATTACTATGTTAATTAAGGTAGTTAGTCATACATAATTTCCAATATAAATGCATCTCAAAAATATAATATAATATCAAACAAAATTTTATTAACTTATTCTGCTTATTTAGAATTCAAAAATCTTGTGTGTTACTGGCTATGTTATAACCAAAATTCATTAAATAAAGCCTAATTAATATTGATCACAATTTCTCAAGTTAACTATAAATTTAATCCTTTGACTACGAATTGAAAGTTTTTACGAAGGAAATAATTAAAAAGGCTGCAAAATAATTAAAGGGTTGATTAAGTTTTCATTTTTACTGCAGTTCCATAATTTTTATATTCAGAAAGTATCTTAATCTTAAAAAGTTGAGATTTATAATTTGTTTATCAATAAATTCCAATATCTTAACAGTAATTCTTTTTTCATATACTTTTTTAGCATAAATACCATATCAAATGTATGTAATTACAATTATTTTTCATTCTATAGAATAATTTCAATTTACTAATTTATTTTAAATATTAATAACTGTTGAAATTATTTCAAATTGACAAATTATGTGTATCGATATTTAAATTTAGTTTAAGTGAACCAAAAAATAAACTGAAACACTTTAAGAAAGTAATAAATTGGAATGAAAAAGAAAGAGTGATGTTGAAAAATTCAATCTTTCTTGCTAATAATAAATTCATGACATTATATTCCTACCTAATAATAAGAATTACGAATAGTGTATTTTAGTAAAGTGAAAATACACTTTTGAAAACGGCAAATCACTTAAAGGAATTACTTATAAGAATAATGGTGCTAAACATTATATTTTCAAAAGATAGAATAGATAGTAATAAAGTTGTTAGATTTTGAAATAAGATAGTTATATTGATAAATAAATAACTTATTTAATAGTAATACTTCTTAAAAGTAGAAACACTGATAAATCTATAAATATACATGAACCAGATATATATTCTTTCATCATCAACTCAAAAGGTTCAAAGAATATGAGGATTGAAAAATATTACTCCTAATTTAGGAAGAGTTTATCAGATTAAAGTAAAATAGAAGTGCTTAAAAGTTTAAGAATTTAAAGCTAAGCATTATAAGACACACTGTTAAAGTCCATAATTCACATAATCAAGTATGAACTAGCAAAACTGGAACTTTCAATTTAAACCAAGTTACCCACTTAAATGGTTGCAGAATTTAAGATTTCTGCAGAGTTTTCATAGATGATACACTAATCATTTAATGGGGAAGGGCTATTGTTATCTAACAGATAGTTATAAAATTCCCTCATCCTTCCGAAATCAAAAGTTATCAGCTTTCCTCCTTTGTTTACCACAATTTTCATTTTAATTACCATACGATTCAAATATGTCAATCCTAAACTTCTAAGGATTAGATGAATACAGATCACAGAATTCAATCTGAAAATAATTTTCAAACCTTCTTTAAAATGTCTAGATTAATCATATAAATTGGATTCATTGATATCTTTGATATAAAATAGATATCAAAACATATTAATTGACGAAAAATACGATAATTTATTTTTGAGAAGGCTAAACATGTCCATTAAAGTAAAACGAAGCTAAGATCTCCTTCCAAAGATTTTCATTGATTCCTCCAATAATTTGATTAAAATCATCGATATTTATATAGCGATGGCCATTCTAAAATTGATTAAATATTTACTAAGTCAAATATTTTTAAATGCTTATTGTAATCTTTATTTATTTAGTAATTTCCTCCTCATCTGCAATAGCTGGAATAAACTATGTAAAATTCACATGACCAGTTTTATTAGTATCTACTCTTTCAAAGATATTGATAACAATTCTTTTAATTTCATTTCATCATTTATAATTATTACTCTAACTCAGTTATTAAATGATAAAGTTTTGAACTTCAAAAAATTGGTAAAATTTAATATGATGCGAGGATCTAATTCTTTAAGGATATTGGCTTCTTCCTCAACTTCTTTAAATAGTTTCTGTTATTCTATCTATTTCATCTCCCTTTTACATACTGTAGTCTTGTAAATATTGAATCAAACTTCTGCAAATTCCCCGTATAATCATTATATAATTTGATATCATTTCCAAAAAATTTCTCTATTTCATTAAAGTCTCTTCTCGAAACATATTTAAGAGTGCATTTCTTATTTTTAATTTAACAACTTCTGCTTAAGGTCTTAAAAGTTATCCTAGTTGTTGAAATGAAGGAGGCTTTTTATTGAGACTAACATGCACCCATATATAGAATATAATTTTATTTATTCAAATTTCTTTTAAAATATGATATTGCCAAAATTTATTAGTTAGAATTTATTTTTATTATTATGAATAATTATTACTGAGTCGAAAATAAATTAGAAATGATCTTCTTCCTTATCGAGTCAATAAAGAATAATTAACAGAAATCCTAACAAAATCACAGGATAAAGAGAGAACTGAAACGATTATTGTTTTTAGAAGGTTAGTGATATATGATTGATTTCAAAAAGTACAAAATTTAATCTTATTTGACAATTTTAGAAGGGAAAATGATAGAGTCCATGAATATAATAAATATCTATTGGGTATTGAATAAAACTCTAATAGATCCAATAATTACTAAAAGTATATGGAATGAAAAGAATATACAAATTCTCGAAGTGCTGAATTGTAATATTCCTAACAATCAAGGTAATAGCGAAATTATGATATTTAAAAACATTAATTACATCTACTCTATGTATATGTGTATTACAAAAGATTGATTTGGAACTCTTAAGATGAATTACCATAATTTGGTTACAATAAAATTACTTTCTTTGCCATTTAATTAAATGATCAAGTATTAGCAAGCTTTTATTGTGGTTATTATATACCAAAACACTTAAGAGTATTGAGTAATATTATTTTCACTTTTAAATTATCTTAAAGCAATAATAAACTTTTTAATATTTCCTGATAATAAAAACTTTGTTTTAATTATTTGAATAAGAATTTAAGGTTTTAATATCAAGTTTTATTTTGTATTTTACCTAACAAAAATACAGCATTAGACAAAACTAACAAAAATATCTAAAATTACTAGATTTTTAGAAATATGAACCTATTTATACCTTAAAATAAGGAACGAATATCATCTTATCAAGACGAGCAACTTTAAATGTCCAATCGAAATGTTGCTGCCATTTTTAATATATCTAAACCCATAAGTTTATTTGAAAGATATATTTAATACACCATAACGATTTATTCCATTCTTCTACTTATTAAATTATAAAAATTTGAAATTAAATTTCCTGTTCTATAATTATACATGTATTCAAAGTTAGATTCTTTTTAAAAGTTATAAATAAATTGTTCCCTGAAACTTATAGAATATTATTTATTATTATATTTTGCCCTTCAATTTCTAACAACCGAAGTTTAATTTTAGTTTAAAAATCAACTTTTTTCCCTTATTTTATTTTTGAATAAGAAATTAGCTATACTGTTTAAAGCTATGAATATAATGAATTATTATCTTGTACTATTCATAATTATCATTCTTGCCCTATTATTTTCAATTATTTTTGATATTAATTTCTGTTCTTAAATGAATAAAT